GGGGAGGGAACCGGGGGATTCCGGGAGGGAACCGGGGGATACCGGGGGAGGGAACCGGGGGATACCGGGGGTCACCGGGGGGATGCCGGTGCCGGCGCGGTTGGGGATGAGCGGGGCTCTCGGTGAGCTGGGGGTGTCCCAGTACAAACCAGTGGCTCCCAGTCCCCCGCTGGGTTCCCCCCTCCCCCATCCCGGCCGCTTCCATTCCCGCTGTTCCCGGTCCGTGTTCCCGGTCCATTCCCGGGATCCACTCCCGGTGTTCCCGATCCATTCCCGGTGTTCCCTGCCCACATTCCCGGTCCATCCCCAGAGATCCATTCCCGGTCCATTCCCGGTGTTCCCGGTGTTCCCGGTCCATTCCCGGTCCATTCCCGGTCCATTCCCGGTCCATTCCCGGTCCGTTCCCGGTGTTCCCGGTGTTCCCGGTCCATTCCCGGTCCATTCCCGGTCCATTCCTGGTCCATTCCCGGTCCATTCCCGGTCCATCCCGGGCCTCATTCCCGGTGTTCCCGGCGCTCCCGCTCCGTCCGTCCGCTCCCGGCATTCCCGTGACTCGCCCCGGGCATGGCCGGGATCCAGCGGGAGCCGCGGGAATGCCGGGATCCAGCGGGATCCAGCGGGATCCAGCGGGATCCAGCGGGATCCAGCGGGATCCAGCGGGAGCAGGGATATCGGGATCAGGGATCCGGGTCAATACCGGGAGCGGGGAGCCTCTGGAATTCCGGGATCCGCTGGAATACCGGGAGCAGGGATCCAGGGAGGGATACCAGGATCCGGGATACCGGGAGCCTCTGGAATTCCGGGATCCCTGAGGAGCTCCAGGATGGGACCCCCGGGAAGTTCGGAGCTGCCGGAACCTCTGGAATTCCCAGAGTTTGGAATGAGCGAGGCTCCAATCCCAGCTGCTCCAGGGAGAGCGGAATTCCCGAATTCCTGAGGGTTCCCAGTCCCTCATCCCGGAATTCCCGAGGGTTCCCAGTCCCTCATCCCGGAATTCCCAAATTCCCGAGGGTTCCCAGTCCCTCATCCCGGAATTCCCGAGGGTTCCCAGTCCCTCATCCCAGAATTCCCAAATTCCCGAGGGTTCCCAGTCCCTCATCCCGGAATTCCCGAATTCCCGAGGGTTCCCAGTCCCTCATCCCGGAATTCCCGAATTCCCGAGGGTTCCCAGTCCCTCATCCTGGAATTCCCGAATTCCCGAGGGTTCCCATTCCCTCATCCCGGAATTCCCAAATTCCCGAGGGTTCCCATTTGTTCATCCCGGAATTCCCGAGGGTTCCCAGTCCCTCATGCAGGAATTCCCAAATTCCCGAGGGTTCCCATTCCCTCATCCCGGAATTCCCGAGGGTTCCCATTCGCTCATCTCGGAATTCCCGAATTCCTGAGGGTTCCCATTCCCTCATCCCAGAATTCCCGAGGGTTCCCATTTGTTCATCCCGGAATTCCTGAGGGTTCCCAGTCCCTCATCCCGGAATTCCTGAGGGTTCCCATTCCCTCATCCCGGAATTCCCGAATTCCTGAGGGTTCCCATTCCCTCTTCCCGGAATTCCTGAGGGTTCCCAGTCCCTCATCCCGGAATTCCCGAGGGTTCCCATTCCCTCATCCTGGAATTCCCGAGGGTTCCCAGTCCCTCATCCCAGAATTCCCAAATTCCCGAGGGTTCCCAGTCCCTCATCCCAGAATTCCCAAATTCCCGAGGGTTCCCAGTCCCTCATCCTGGAATTCCCGAGGGTTCCCATTCGCTCATCCCAGAATTCCCGAATTCCCGAGGGTTCCCATTCGCCCATCCCGGCTCAGGGAAGGCTCTGGAATTCCCGGGAGAAGGGAAAAGGATCGGGAATGATCCGGGAGCCGTTGGATCCAATCCCGGCTGGAATCAACTCCGGCTCCTAAAATTATCCCGGATTTTTCCAATGAAAAAAAATCTCCTGGAAAATTCCCATCACAGCCTCGGAATTTTGGGATAAATTCCCAAAAATTATCCCGGATTTTTCTCCATTTATAAAAATATTCAGATGATTCCCACCACAGCCTTGGAATTTCAGGAAAAGCTCCCAGAAATTATCCCGGATTTTTCCGATGGATAAAATCTCCTGGATAATTCCTGTCACAACCCTGGAATTTTGGGAAAAATTCCCTAAAATTATCCCGGATTTTTTTTCCCGATGGATAAAATCTGGATAATTCCCACATTGGTTTTGGAATATTGGGGAAAAATTCCCCAAAAAAATTATCCCGGATTTTTCCAGTGAAAAAAAAAAATCTCCTGGATAATTCCCAGCACAACCCTGGAATTTTGGGGAAAATTCCCAAAAATTTATCCCGGATTTTTCTCCATTTATAAAAATATTTGGATGATTCCCATCACGGCTTTGGAATTTCGGGAAAAGCTCCCAAAAATTATCCCGGATTTTTTTTCCGATGGATAAAAATCTCCTGGATAATTCCCAGCACAACCCTGGAATTTTGGGAAAAAATCCCTAAAATTATCCTGGATTTTTTTTCCCAATGGATAAAATCTGGAGAATTCCCACATTTGCTTTGGAATTTCGGGGAAAATCTCCCAAAATTCCTCCCGGATTTTTCCCAACTCTCGAACCCTCCCACGGCACCGGGAAAATTCCCAAAAAATAAAAATTCCCTGCGGATTTTTCCATTGGAAAAGGCGAGCTGGGAAATCCGGGAATGGTTTTTTTTTTGGGGAATTCCCAAAATTCCCCAATCCCTCCCTGCTCCTGCGGCCCTGCCTCAGTTTCCCCTCCGGATCCTTGGAAAACGAGGGGGAATAAAGACGGGATTTGGGGAATTCCAAATTCCCAGGAAAAACCCGGAGCGAATCCCTGGGATTTGGGATATTCCAAAGGAATTTTTTTATTTTTTTCCTTCTTTTTTTTAATTTTTTTTTTGTTTAATTCCCCAAAAAATCAGGAAATGACTCGGGAATGTTTGACTTTTCCAAAGGGAAAACAAAAAAAAAATGGGAACAAAGCTCCAGAATCCTGCTTTTTATTCCGGGAATCCAAAGCGGCCCCGAGCTCATTTGCATATGCAAAATACCTTTAATTCTGGCTGCCGCTAATTACCCGCCCTAATTAAAGTCATTAGCGCGGCCCTCCGGAGCTTCCCGGATTTCCCAGCTCGCCTTTTCCAATGGAAAAATCCGCAGGGAATTTTTATTTTTTTGGGAATTTTCCCGGTGCCGTGGGAGGGTTCGAGAGTTGGGAAAAATCCGGGAGGAATTTTTGGGAGATTTTCCCTGAAATTCCAAAGCAAATGTGGGAATTCTCCAGATTTTATCCATCGGGAAAAAAAATCCGGGATAATTTTAGGGAGTTTTTCCCAAAATTCCGAGGCTGTGCTGGGAATTATCCAGGAGATTTTTTTTCATTGGAAAAATCCAGGATAATTTTTTGGAGCTTTTCCCGAAATTCCAAGGCTGTGCTGGGAATCATCTGAATATTTTTATCCATCAGAAAAAAAAAATCCAGGATAATTTTTTGGAATTTTTCACAAAATTCCAGGGTTGTGCTGGGAATTATCCAGGAGATTTTATCCATCAGAAAAATCCGGGATAATTTTTTTGGGAATTTTTCCCCAATATTCCCAAACCAATGTGGGAATTATCCAGATTTTATCCATTGGGAAAAAAATCCGGGATAATTTTAGGGAGTTTATCCCAAAATTCCGAGGCTGTGCTGGGAATTATCTGAATATTTTTATCCATTGAGAAAAATCCAGGATAATTTTTGGGAATTTATCCCAAAATTCCAGGGTTTTGACGGGAATTATCCAGGAGATTTTATCCATCGGAAAAATCCGGGAATTATCCAGGAGATTTTATCCATCGGAAAAATCCGGGATAATTTTTGGGAGCTTTTCCTGAAATTCCAAGGCTGTGCTGGGAATCATCCGAATATTTTTATCCATTGGGAAAAATCCGGGATAATTTTAGGGAATTTTTCCTGATATTCCAAAACCAATGTGGGAATTCTCCTGATTTTATCCATTGGGAAAAAATAAAAAAATCCGGGATAATTTTAGGCATTTTTTCCCAAAATTCCGAGGCTGTGCTGGGAATTATCCAGGAGATTTGTATCCATCAGAAAAACCCGGGATAATTTCAGGGAGCTTTTCCTGAAATTCCAAGGCTGTGCTGGGAATCATCCAGGAGATTTTATCCATTGGGAATAAAATCCGGGATAATTTTTGGGAGCTTTTCCTGAAATTCCAAGTCCGTGCTGGGAATCATCCGAATATTTTTATCCATCAGAAAAATCCGGGATAATTTTTGGGAATTTTTCCCAAAATTCCAAGGCTGTGCTGGGAATTATCCAGGAGATTTTTTTTTCACTGGAAAAATCCGGGATAATTTTTTGGGAATTTTTCCTGATATTCCAAAACCAATGTGGGAATTATCCAGATTTTATCCATTGGGAAAAAAAATCCGGGATAATTTTAGGGAGTTTTTCCCAAAATTCCAGGGTTGTGAAGGGAATTATCCAGGAGATTTTATCCATCGGAAAAATCCGGGATAATTTTTGGGAGCTTTTCCTGAAATTCCAAGGCTGTGCTGGGAATCATCCGAATATTTTTATCCATTGAGAAAAATCTGGGATAATTTTTGGGAATTTTTCCCAAAATTCCAGGGTTGTGCTGGGAATTATCCAGGAGATTTTATCCATCGGAAAAATCCAGGATAATTTTTGGGATTTTTTCCCAAAATTCCAGGGTTTTGACGGGAATTATCCAGGAGATTTTATCCATCGGAAAAATCCGGGATAATTTTTGGGAGCTTTTCCCAAAATTCCGAGGCCGTGCTGGGAATCATCCAAATATTTTTATCCATTGAGAAAAATCCAGGATAATTTTTGGGAATTTATCCCAAAATTCCAGGGTTTTGACGGGAATTATCCAGGAGATTTTATCCATCGGAAAAATCCGGGATAAATTTTGGGAATTTATCCCAAAATTCCAGGGTTGTGCTGGGAATTATCCAGGAGATTTTATCCATCGGAAAAATCCGGGATAATTTTTGGGAAGCTTTTCCCGATGCCGGCGGCTCCATCCGGGATAATCCCCGGATTATTTTAATTGATTCCCCGGGATCATTTTCCCGCCGTTCCCATCCTTTCCCGGCCGCATTTCCCGGGAATCTCGGGGCCTGGATGAAGCCGTCATCTCCCGCCTTTTCATGGGGATCACGTTCCCGGCCGCGCCGGGGATGTTCGGGATGAATTCATTCCCTGGGAATCCCCGCTGGAGCCGTGTTGGGATTCCGGAAAGATCCGTGTCGGGATTCCGCCGGCTGCCGGAGCTTCATCCGCCGGAATTCGTCCCAAAATTCCCCAATCCCGGCTGGGAAAGGCCGGGAATGGGATTGGGGGGGGGCTGGATGTGGAGAATTCCAGGTGGGAATGGGAGCCAGGACCCTTTTACCAGGGATTCGGGGATTTTTGGGATGAGTCCACGAGCCAGGACCATTTTTGGGGGATTTTGGGAATTTTGGCCGGGAATTTTGGGATTTTTGGGTTGAATCCATGGTCCAGGACCCTTTTTCCAGGGATTCGGGGCATTTTGGGATGAATCCACGAGCCAGGACCATTTTTCCGGGAATTTTGGGAATTTTGGCTGGGAATTTTGGGAATTTTGTGATGAATCCATGGTCCAGAACCCTTTTTCCCGGGATTCAGGGAATTTTGGGATGAATCCACGAGCCAGGACCATTTTTTTAGGGATTTGGGGAATTTTGGCCGGGAATTTTGGGATTTTTGGGTTGAATCCATGGTCCAGGACCATTTTTCCAGGGATTCAGGGCATTTTGGGATGAATCCATGAGCCAGGACCATTTTTCCGGGAATTTTGGGAATTTTGGCTGGGAATTTTGGGATTTTCGGGATGAATCCACGAGCCAGGACCATTTTTTTAGGGATTTGGGGAATTTTGGCCGGGAATTTTGGGATTTTTGGGTTGAATCCATGGTCCAGGACCATTTTTCCAGGGATTCAGGGCATTTTGGGATGAATCCATGAGCCAGGACCATTTTTCCGGGAATTTTGGGAATTTTGGCTGGGAATTTTGGGAATTTTGTGATGAATCCATGGTCCAGAACCCTTTTTCCCGGGATTCAGGGAATTTTGGGATGAATCCACGAGCCAGGACCATTTTTTTAGGGATTTGGGGAATTTTGGCCGGGAATTTTGGGATTTTTGGGTTGAATCCATGGTCCAGAACCCTTTTTCCAGGGATTTGGGGAATTTTGGGATGAATCCATAAGCCCTTTTCCAAGCTCTGAGGAATTTTGGGAATTCCATCCCAGAATCCCACGGGATTTGGACCCAGCTCCACCTGAGGGATTTCACACCCATCCCCACAGGAAATTCCTGGAATTCCCCAGAATTCCTTGGAATTCCATCCCAACCAGGTTGGAGAATTCCCCCTCCTCCCCAAAAAAAATCCCAAAAAATTTTTCCAGAGGCTGGGGAAAAAAAAAAACCCAAGAATTCCCATAAAGGAAAAGCGGGAAGGGAGGAATTTGGGGGGGATTTGGGATTCCCGGGAATTCCGGCTGATCCCGAGGATTCCCGCAGATCCAACCGGGATTGCCAGATCGACCAACACCACCGGAACCAGTGCCAGTACTGCCGCCTCAAGAAGTGCTTCCGAGTGGGAATGAGGAAGGAAGGTACGGAAAAAATTCCCAAAGAATCCCCAGGAATCCCGGGAATTCTGGGTTTTGCCAAAAAACCCCGTTTTCCCCCCGTTTTTTTGGGATTTTTTGGGGTTTTCCCTCTTTTTCTGAGCCCGCCCGGAGTGGGGGTTGGGGGGTGGGGTGGATTCCCGGATCCGTGGGAATCCCAAATGTTCCCAAAAATTCCGCTCCCTGCTCCGTCTCCATCGCCCCTGGGATGGGAATCCCAAATGCTTCCTGGGAGGGGGGGTTTGTCCCAAAAAATCCAGGGTTTGTCCCAAAAAATCCAGGGTTTATCCCAAAAAATTCTGGGTTTATCCCAAAAAATCCAGGGTTTGTCCCAAAAATCCAGGGTTTGTCCCAAAAATCCAGGGTTTGTCCCAAGAAATCTGGGGTTTATCCAAAAAATTCGGGGTTTATCCCAAAAAATCCAGGGTTTGTCCAAAAAAATCCAGGGTTTGTCCCAAAAAATTCTGGGTTTATCCCAAAAATCCAGGGTTTATCCCAAAAAATTGTGGGTTAATCCCAAAAATCCAGGGTTTATCCCAAAAAATTGTGGGTTAATCCCAAAAAATCCAGGGTTTGTCCAAAAAAATCCAGGGTTTGTCCCAAAAAATCCAGGGTTTGTCCCAAAAATCTGGGGTTTATCCAAAAAAATCCAGTGTTTGTCCCAAAAATCCAGGGTTTGTCCCAAAAAATCCAGGGTTTGTCCCAAAAAATCCAGGGTTTGTCCCAAAAATCCAGGGTTTGAAATCCAGGGTTTACCCCAAAAAATCCAGGGTTTGTCCCAAAAAATCCAGGGTTTGTCCCAAAAAATCCTGGGTTTGTCCCAAAAATCCAGGGTTTGTCCCAAAAATCCAGGGTTTGTCCCAAGAAATCTGGGGTTTATCCAAAAAATTCGGGGTTTATCCCAAAAAATCCAGGGTTTGTCCAAAAAAATCCAGGGTTTGTCCCAAAAAATTCTGGGTTTATCCCAAAAATCCAGGGTTTATCCCAAAAAATTGTGGGTTAATCCCAAAAATCCAGGGTTTATCCCAAAAAATTGTGGGTTAATCCCAAAAAATCCAGGGTTTGTCCCAAAAATCCAGGGTTTGTCCCAAAAAATCCAGGGTTTATCCAAAAAAATCCAGGGTTTGTCCCAAAAAATCCAGGGTTTATCCCAAAAAATTGTGGGTTTATCCCAAAAAATCCAGGGTTTATCCCAAAAAATCCAGGGTTTATCCCAAAAAATCTGGGGTTTATCCAAAAAAATCCAGGGTTTGTCCCAAAAAATCCTGGGTTTGTCCCAAAAATCCGGGGTTTATCCCAAAAAATCCAGGGTTTGTCCCAAAAAATCCAGGGTTTATCCCAAAAAATCTGGGGTTTGTCCCAAAAAATCCAGGGTTTGTCCCAAAAAATCCAGGGTTTATCCCTAAAATTCTCAGTTTGATCCCTAAAACCCCAGATTGATCCGAAATTCCCAGGTTTTGATGATGTGAGATGGGGATGAAAATCCAGCGGGATATTTTGGGGTTGGGATGAAAATCCAGTAGGATTCTCTGAGGATGGAGATGAAAATCCATTGGGATTTTTTGGAGATTGTGATGAAAATCCATTGGGATTTTTTGAGGATGGAGAAGAAAATCCATTGGGATTTTTTGAGGATGAGAGATCAAAATCCAGCAGGATTTTTGGGGGACTGGGATGAAAATCCATTGGGATTTTTTGAATGTGGAGAAGAAAATCCATTGGGATTTTTTGAAGATCAGGATGAAAATCCAGCGGGATTTTCTGAGGATGAGAGATCAAAATCCATCGGGATTTTTTGGGGATTCTGATGAAAATCCATTGGGATTTTTTGAGGATGGAGAAGAAAATCCAGTGGGATATTTTAAGGATCAGGATGAAAATCCAGCGGGATTTTTTTGAGTATGGGGATGAAGATCCAACAGGATTTTTGGGGATTGGGATGAAAATCAAACAGGATTTTTTGAAGATCAGGATGAAAATCCATTGGGATTTTTTAAGGATCAGGAAGAAAATCCAGTGGGATTTTTTGGAGATTGGGATGAAAATCCATTGGGATTTTTTGGAGATTGGGATGAAAATCCAGTGGGATTTTTTAAGGATCAGGAAGAAAATCCATCAGGATTTTTTTGAGGATCAGGATGAAAATCCAGTGGGATTTTTTGAGGATCAAAATCCATTGGGATTTTTTGAATGTGGAGAAGAAAATCCATTGGGATTTTTTGAGGATGAGAGATCAAAATCCAGTGGGATTTTTTGGGGATCAGGATGAAAATCCAGCGGGATTTTTTGAATGTAGAGAAGAAAATCCATTGGGATTTTTTGGAGATTGTGATGAAAATCCATTGGGATTTTTTGAATGTGGAGAAGAAAATCCATTGGAATTTTTTGAGGATCAGGATGAAAATCCATTGGGATTTTTTGGGATCGGGATGCAGCTCCACCCCACTCCATCCCTTTCCCTCCCCAGCCGTCCAGCGTGGCCGCATCCCCCCCAGCCACTCCTCGGGCAGCCCCAACCCCATCCCAGCGGGCGAATTCTTCAACGGGCAGCCCCTGTCGGAGCTCATCTCCCAACTCCTCCGCGCCGAGCCCTACCCGGCGGCGCGCTACGGCTCCCAGTACGCCCAGCCCGGCGGCCTCATGGCCATCGACAACATCTGCGAGCTGGCCGCCCGCCTCCTCTTCAGCACCGTGGAGTGGGCCCGCAACATCCCCTTCTTCCCGGATCTCCCCGTCTCCGACCAAGTGGCGCTGCTCCGCCTGAGCTGGAGCGAGCTCTTCGTGCTGAACGCGGCGCAGTCGGCGCTGCCGCTGCACGTGGCCCCGCTGCTGGCGGCCGCCGGCTTCCACGCCTCGCCCATGGCGGCCGACAGGGTGGTGGCCTTCATGGATCAGATCCGGCTCTTCCAGGAGCAGGTGGAGAAGCTCAACCGGCTGCAGGTGGATTCGGCAGAGTACAGCTGCCTCAAGGCCATCGCGCTCTTCACGCCCGGTAAGGGCCTGCGGGGTTTTGGGGGAGTTTGGGGTGTTTGGGGATGGGTTTTCTGGGGTTTTGGAGGGTTTGGGATGGGTTTTCTGGGGTTTTGGGAGGGTTTGGGTGTTGAGAATGAGTGGGGAAGGGTTAGGGTTAGGGTTTGGGATGTTGGGGATGGGTTTTCTGGGGTTTTGGGAGGGTTTGGGATGGGTTTTCTGGGGTTTTGGGGGGAGTTTGGGTGTTGGNTTTCTGGGGTTTTGGGGAGGTTTGGGATGTTTGGGATGGGTTTCCTGCGGTTTTGAGAGGGGTTGGGGTGTTGGGAATGGGTTTTCTGGGGTTTTGGGGGAGTTTGAGGTGTTGGGAATGAGTGGGGAAGGGTTTTCCCGAGGGGTTGGGGTGTTGGGGATGGGTTTTCTGTGGTTTTGGGGGGGTTTGGGGTGTTGGGAATGAGTGGGGAAGGGTTTTCCCAAGGGTTTGGGGTGTTGGGGATGGGTTTTCTGGGGTTTTGAGAGGGGTTGGGGTGTTGGGGATGGGTTGTCCGGGTTTTTTGGGAGGTTTGGAGTGTTGGGAATGAGTGGGGAGAAGTTGTCATGGGTTTTCCCGAGGGTTTGGGGTGTTGGGAATGGGTTTTCCGGGTTTTTTGGAGGGGTTGGGGTGTTGGGGATGAGTGGGGAATGGTTTTTCCCAGTTTTCTCCTTGTTTTCCTGAGGGTTTGGGAATTCCCAATGTATTTTGAAAGATTCCCATTGGATTTTGGGATATTCCCCTATAAATTTCCAGATATCCCCAACGGATTTCAGGATATCCCCTATAAATTTCAATATCCCCTATAAATTTCCAGAAATCCCCTATAAATTTCCAGATATTCCCAACGAATTCATGGATATCCCCTATAAATTCCTGAATATCCCCTATAAATTTCTGGATATTCCCAATGGATTTCTGGATATCCCCTATAAATTTCAGGATATCCCCTATAAATTTCCACATATCCCCTATAAATTTCCGGATATCCCCCATAAATTCCTGAATATCCCCTATAAATTTCTGGATATCCCCTATAAATTTCTGGATATTCCCAACGGATTTCAGGATATCCCCTATAAATTTCAGGATATCCCCTATAAATTTCAATATCCCCTATAAATTCCAGGATATCCCCTATAAATTCCTGAATATCCCCTATAAATTTCCGGATATTCCCAATGGATTTCTGGATATTCCCAACGGATTTCTGGATATCCCCTATAAATTTCTGGATATTCCCAACGGATTTCTGGATATCCCCTATAAATTTCTGGATATCCCCTATAAATTTTGATATCCCCTATAAATTTCCAGAAATCCCCTATAAATTTTGATATCCCCTATAAATTTCCAGATATTCCCAACGAATTCATGGATATCTCCTATAAATTCCTGAATATCCCCTATAAATTTCTGGATATTCCCAACGGATTTCTGGATATTCCCAACGGATTTCTGGATACCCCCTATAAATTTCCAGATATCCCCTATGAATTTCAATATCCCCTATAAATTCCAGGATATCCCCTATAAATTCCTGAATATCCCCTATAAATTTCCGGATATTCCCAATGGATTTCTGGATATTCCCAACGGATTTCTGGATATCCCCTATAAATTTCTGGATATTCCCAATGGATTTCTGGATATCCCCTATAAATTTCCAGATATTCCCAACGGATTTCTGGATATCCCCTATAAATTTCTCTATATTCCCAATGGATTTCTGGATATCCCCCATAAATTCCTGAATATCCCCTATAAATTTCTGGATATTCCCAATGGATTTCTGGATATTCCCAATGGATTTCTGGATATTCCCTATAAATTTCAGGATATCCCCTATAAATTTCAGGATATCCCCTATAAATTTCAATATCCCCTATAAAACTCCAGATATTCCCAATGAATTCATGGATATCCCCTATAAATTCCTGATTATCTCCTATAAATTTCTGGATATTCCCAACGGATTTCTGGATATTCCCAACGAATTCCTGGATATCCCCTATAAATTTCCAGATATCCCCTATAAATTTCTGGATATTCCCAATGAATTTCTGGATATCCCCTATAAATTCCTGAATATCCCCTATAAATTTCTGGATATTCCCAACGGATTTCTGGATATCCCCTATAAATTTCTGGATATTCCCAATGGATTTCTGGATATCCCCTATAAATTTCAGGATATCCCCTATAAATTTCCACATATCCCCTATAAATTTCCAGATATTCCCAACGAATTCATGGATATCCCCTATAAATTCCTGAATATCCCCTATAAATTTCTGGATATTCCCAACGGATTTCTGGATATTCCCAACGGATTTCTGGATATCCCCTATAAATTTCCGGATATCCCCTATAAATTTTGATATCCCCTATAAATTCCAGGATATCCCCTATAAATTCCTGAATATCCCCTATAAATTTCTGGATATTCCCAATGGATTTCTGGATATTCCCTATAAATTTCCAGATATTCCCAACAAATTCATGGATATCCCCCATAAATTCCTGAATATCCCCTATAAATTTCTGGATATTCCCAACGGATTTCTGGATATCCCCTATAAATTTCCGGATATCCCCTATAAATTTTGATATCCCCTATAAATTTCCAGATATTCCCAACGAATTCATGGATATCCCCTATAAATTCCTGAATATCCCCTATAAATTTTGATATCCCCTATAAATTTCCAGAAATCCCCTATAAATTTTGATATCCCCTATAAATTT